AAATATACAGTGACATGCGAAAGTTTGGGAACCCCTTTTAAGGCGAAATGTGACTTGCTGGTGATGTGTTTTGTGAGCATTAACATATGAAAATTATATAATCATAATAATCTTGTTTATAAACACATCTTTATATAACACATCTTTTAACATATTGTTTATAAAACATTTTTACATTATCACAAAATTGCACTGTTACAAATAGTTTCACTCATATAAATATGAAGTTTCACTTCATATAAATAAATTGGAATAAAATACATATACAGTGGCATGCGAAAGTTTGGGAACCCCTTGCAGAATCTGTGAAAATGTGAATAATTTGAACAAAATAAAGGAGATCATACAAAATGCATGTTCTTTTTTATTTAGTACTGTCCTGAGTAAGATATTGTACATAAAAGATGTTTACATATAGTCCACAAGACAAACAAATAGTTGAAATTATAAAAATAACCCCATTCAAAAGTTTGGGAACCCTTGGTTCTTAATACTGTGTGTGGTTACCTGGATGATCCACCACTGTTTTTTGTTTTGTGATGGTTGTTCATGAGTCCCTTGTTTGTTCTGAACAGTTAAACTGAGCACTGTTCTTCAGAAAAATCCTCCATGTCCTGCAGATTCTTCAGTTTTCCAGCATCTTTTGCATATTTGAACCCTTTCCAGCAGTGACTGTATGATTTTGAGATCCATCTTTTCACACTGAGGACAATTGAGGGACTCAAACACAACTATTAAAAAAGGTTAAAACTTTCACTTATGCTCCAGAAGGAAACATGATGCATTAAGAGCCAAGAGTCAAGGTAAATTGTACTTAATTTGTCTTCCGGGAAACATGCAAGTATCTTCTGTTGCTTCCGAAGGGCATTACTAAATGGAAAAAATATATATTTAAACAAAATAAGAAAAATTCGGACACCTTCATCCTGTTCAAAAGGCTCTTAATGCATCATGTTTCCTTCTGGAGCATCAGTGAATGTTTGAACCTTTTTTAAAGGGGTCTTAAATTTTATTTTAAAAGAAATACCCTTTTCTCCAAATACTACTGAAGCCTTATTGAATCACGTCAGTGAAACTGGCCAATGGCGTTCAAGCGTGCGAAATATGAGGGGCTCCCACTCTATATAAAGCAGTGCTTGTACGTAATCTATTCAGAATCTTAACTGACTATTTTAGAAGTTGTAATTCTGTATGAGTAAGTGTAAGTATACTTAAACTGAGTCGACACCACCGGCATTGGGCCACTCGTCGGTGTGATTGTGGCCCAGTGCTGGTGGTGTCGACTCAGTTTCAGTACCCAGACTCGGGCCAGTACTGGCTAAGTGTTTCATTTCTTGTCAGATTCGGGCCAGTGTATTTGGGCCGATTCTGGGGCATCATTCATCCCATGTCCATGCTGAGTCTGGCAGTTATTTCTTCTGGCCTGCCGGATCTGGGCCATTTTCGGGCCAAACCATTTTGGCTACCTGGGATATTTATTGATAAATGAACTGGAACAAACTGCATAGGTAAACCAGTGAACATTTGCACCATCAAATTTCCACCAATAACTCAAGCTGACACTGAAAATCAAGAATAAATAGAGTTTATAAACCTAAATGACACTGACCGCTGTGATAGACAATGCAAAGCAGCAGCAGAAGATTCAAGCATCTGAACCTGTTGAGAATAAGAGCTGTTATGTGACAAATACAGACACACATTAATGCAGCCATAAAATACTGTGCTGTGTGGAAAAATATTACAGAACTGACCACAATACAGTGATTACAATCCTGCAGTTTTATTTCAAGATTTAACACATGTGGATCTTGAACATGATAAAAATGTCTAATAACAAAAAAAGATCAAACTAATCTGAGTCTTTGGTTTTATAAATATTAGTTATTATCTGAGTCAGCATGATCCAGCAAACCCAAAAGCCCAATGGACACAAACAGACAGTTGTAGAGTAACCTGCTACCAAACAATCCACACATCAACGTAGAAATCATTTGATTGCATTGAGTAATCAATGTAGAACAATTTAATAATTACATTAATAATTCCACTAATAAAACCCATCATCATAATCATCAGCGGCAGCAGAACATGTTCGCTCATTTCCTTAGCATCATTAGCAAGTTAACAGGCAACCTGTTTCCACAAATAAACACAACTACTGGTATATTAACACAAAAACATACAAGCTTTATATTTAAAAGGATAAAAAAAAACGTACATTGTAAAATTTCTGCATGAGTTTTATATTCTGGCTGTCTAAATTTCGTAAACCACTGTACATTTAGCGAGAGGTATGAGTAAAAACAAAACCAAAAGTATAATTCCCATACAGGTCAGAGTCTTTCAGAGGGAATATGGTTGGATCTTTCCTCTATGAAAGAGTATGATTGGTGTTTATTGCCCTCTGCTGGTTATTCTATCAAAGCTGATTGAGCTGTCAGAAGATATGAGATCTATAGCTAAAAAAACAGTGTGTGTTGTACTAAGTGTTGTGTGAGACCAGATACAGGCATCTGAAGTTTATTTTGAACAAGATCCAGTACTGGCTAAGTGTTTCATTTCTTGTCAGATTCGGGCCAGTGTATTTGGGCCGATTCTGGGGCATCATTCATCCCATGTCCATGCTGAGTCTGGCAGTTATTTCTTCTGGCCTGCCGGATCTGGGCCATTTTCGGGCCAAACCATTTTGGCTACCTGGGATATTTATTGATAAATGAACTGGAACAAACTGCATAGGTAAACCAGTGAACATTTGCACCATCAAATTTCCACCAATAACTCAAGCTGACACTGAAAATCAAGAATAAATAGAGTTTATAAACCTAAATGACACTGACCGCTGTGATAGACAATGCAAAGCAGCAGCAGAAGATTCAAGCATCTGAACCTGTTGAGAATAAGAGCTGTTATGTGACAAATACAGACACACATTAATGCAGCCATAAAATACTGTGCTGAGTGGAAAAATATTACAGAACTGACCACAATACAGTGATTACAATCCTGCAGTTTTATTTCAAGATTTAACACATGTGGATCTTGAACATGATAAAAATGTCTAATAACAAAAAAAGATCAAACTAATCTGAGTCTTTGGTTTTATAAATATTAGTTATTATCTGAGTCAGCATGATCCAGCAAACCCAAAAGCCCAATGGACACAAACAGACAGTTGTAGAGTAACCTGCTACCAAACAATCCACACATCAACGTAGAAATCATTTGATTGCATTGAGTAATCAATGTAGAACAATTTAATAATTACATTAATAATTCCACTAATAAAACCCATCATCATAATCATCAGCGGCAGCAGAACATGTTCGCTCATTTCCTTAGCATCATTAGCAAGTTAACAGGCAACCTGTTTCCACAAATAAACACAACTACTGGTATATTAACACAAAAACATACAAGCTTTATATTTAAAAGGATAAAAAAAAACGTACATTGTAAAATTTCTGCATGAGTTTTATATTCTGGCTGTCTAAATTTCGTAAACCACTGTACATTTAGCGAGAGGTATGAGTAAAAACAAAACCAAAAGTATAATTCCCATACAGGTCAGAGTCTTTCAGAGGGAATATGGTTGGATCTTTCCTCTATGAAAGAGTATGATTGGTGTTTATTGCCCTCTGCTGGTTATTCTATCAAAGCTGATTGAGCTGTCAGAAGATATGAGATCTATAGCTAAAAAAACAGTGTGTGTTGTACTAAGTGTTGTGTGAGACCAGATACAGGCATCTGAAGTTTATTTTGAACAAGATCTCTGATGATTTCAGTCTGATCTCAACAGTTTGAGCAGATTTCAGCTTTGATTGTGTCTCAATCTCATGCAGCTTCACAAAGAGACTGTTTAGTTTGTAAGTAAATGCAATTTAACATCCAGCTACATATTTTATCATAATATTATCAATAAAGCATTATTTTTCTGAATTTAGTAAAAGAAAATAGTATAAAATATTTAATTCATACAACAAAAAAATCAAACCAATCAAAAATGTTTCTAACAAAAGTAGTGAAATCCAACAGCCTAAAGGTGAAAGGAAAAAATGGGAAGGTCGATGAGTTTAAAGAGGGGTTTTCCCTCTTGCGCTCGTAGGCTGTGGACGAGAGTGAGCCGCTGGAGGATGATATTTCATTAACATCGTCTGATCCGGGGGCCAGTGCTTTGCTGGGTTCAGCCCAAGAAGAGCAGGAAATGTCTGAGGAAGCCTTCCTGGTGTAACCCATGTTAAAGGGGTCATGTGATGCGATTTCAATTTTTCCTTTCTCTTTGGAGTGTTACAAGCTCTTGGTGCATAAAGAAGATCTGTAAAGTTGCAAAGTCTAAAGTCTCAAATCCAAAGAGATATTCTTTATAAAAGTTAAGAGTCAGCCACTCCTACCTAAAACGGCTCGTTCTAACATGCCCCCACATATCTACCTCACTATGTGGGAAGATTTGCATAATGCGTTTGTAATGGGTTTTAATGTTTTTGTGTCGTCGCTCCAGGACAGGGCATCATCACAGTATGGTGAGGGGCGTAACATTTCCGTCACACGCTTGAGGTATTCGGTCAATCACAACGCACTGGATAGCTGACCAATCACAACACACCTCGCTTTTCAGACCGATGAGCTTTGTAAAAATCGATGCGTTTCAAAAAGGTGGGGCATAGAGGAGAAACAATAATGTACAGTATGTGGAAAATAATGTTTTTTTTTACTTTAAACCGCATAAACACATTGCATTACACCAAATACACAAAATAATGTTCTTTTTAGCAACATCATATGACCCCTTTAAATGTGGTGCCTAAAGAACATAAATAATATAATTGTATATTCTAATAGTTACTCTTTTTAATTTAAAAAGTTAAACGATCTATTAATATGCATTGTGAATTATGTATAAATAAAAATAATTAGTATTATAATTGAGTGCAGAACATGTGATGTATTACACGTACACGAGTTGTCTATAACGTAAGCAGATGACTCACGGAAGTGCAAGAGATGCTCTGAACATGAGATGAGAGCGATACAGAAGGGATTAAAAAGGTTTATTTTGTAATTCATTTAATGTGGTTATAAGCAACTTTATAATACTTCATGGTTGATGATGATAAATTGTTTTAGAATGATGATTGCTGATTTAAGCGTGGATGCTAGCCGATTGTGAAGCTCCTTTGAAACTGAAGCGGGTGTTTATCAAACTGTGAAACTCGGGATTTGGTGAGTTTGTTTTTTATTTTCTTTGAAAGCTGTATTTGCTTTGTTACTATGCATATCATTATGCATGTTGTAAAGATTGTTTGCATATTTTCTGATTGTTAATATGATTTATTTTGGAATGTTGAGTTATATATTCTGCTTGGCAATTAATAAATTAATTTCCTTATTCTCAATATGCCTGTAAGATAACACGTTCATTATGAACGTTGATATGGATGTTTAAACAAACAATTTTGAATGTTAATGGCACTGTTTTGGTAAAACAGGTCAGGTTTATTGGTTGAGTTGAGAACCTCTCTCATGGATTTGAGATGGCGGGCCACCAAGAAAAAATGTAATGCTGACTTCTGAACCTGGGAAAAAGACACTTTTGCTGCACACGGATTCCTTAAATTCTTCACTTGTTACACTTTCCTTCCTGATCTCCATTTCCTCACGCGTCCATCGGTTCCAGCATATGAGTTATGCCAACATCGAGGCGATGCACGAAAACGGCTATGAGAGGATGCCCCCGGTAGAAGAGATGCTGGCCAGCTATCTCTCTATGGGTGAGACATCATCTCTCAAAACTCCCTCCTTGCCATCCAAGCCCCTTCAGATTACATCTCGCTTGAATGGCGGGGCATACGCAGCAGCAGGTTGCACACGATGGCGGTGCTCCAGGCATATCAGGCTGACCTGCTGAAAGACCTGGATAAAGGCGAGGCCCTTTCTCCTGATGAGGTAGCTGAGTTGCGCCGCACCACGGATCTCGCTCTCCATGCTACTAAGCAGGCCACCTCTGTTATGCGCAGGCCCATGGCGGCTATGGTAGTGACGGAGAGACATCTGTGGGTGAACCTGGCAGACATCGGGAGGAAAGAAAGGGGCTTTCTTCTCGATGCCCCGGTTTCGCCCTCTGAACTTTTTGGCTTTTATTTATTATTTTTTAATTAACTATTTTTTTCCAAACCATTGTTAGATGCAGTGTTTCCTGTAGTTATGCAAAGATTTGGTTTCAAAAACGGTATCGGTGAACTATTTCTTATGATTTTAAATCTGCATTGATCTTCAGATCAATCTCAAAGTAAAAGGCGGTACTAAAGTCTGATTTTGTGGTGGATGTGCTCAAATTTGAATCTTAATTCAAGTGATGAAGGATTGTGAAAGGCTGACAGTGTTGAGCACAACTGTAAGGTTAACCTGCATGGTGTAAGTGTTTGAAAATGATTAACAGTTGCAAATAAACATTCATTAGAAACGTTGAAAAGTAATCAAAAAGTAATTAAACGTAATCAGTTACATTACTTTAATAAAGTAATTGAAAAAGTTACACTATTACATTTTAAATAGGGTAACTTGTCATCTGTAACCTATTACATTTCCAAAGTAACCTTCCCAACACTGATTGTTGGGTAAACCAAAGGAGATTAATATTCATAATACCTCAGATAGTTTTAAGCCTTTCCGTCCTTACTCTGATACATAACTTTAGCCCAATGAACTTTAATACTCTGATTTTTATTTTCAAATAACGTCTGTTTTAGGAATTTAAGCTTTCAAAGTTTCTCTATTGTTTGATTTGTTTAACGCGCAATGGCCACCAGGGGGTATTCCAGAAAGCAGGTTCTGAGACATACCCGGGTATGTTTGAGGATAATGTATGATATGTTAATGATGAAGCGCTAATATAAGTAATAAATAAGGTAATATAATATTCTAATATGGTTATATTTATTTTATTGGCATATATAACAGTTATCTGTATAAATTATAAAACGCTATGACAAGGTAATGTTTAATTTATTATATTATATATATTACATTTTATATTATCTCACACATGGATCGGCATTTTCTATAATGTCTCAATTCTAAATCAAAATACATATATGATATTACTTAATATATAATTAGCATCAAACAAACAATATAATTAATATTCTCAAGGATTAAAGATTAAATGGAAAAAAATTAAAATTATTGCACAACCATCAATTAGGTGGCGATATGCACTAAGCATGTAAGTTACCATTGAACAAAAGAAGAAGAAAGAAACAGCATGGCATGCTTTTTCTTAGCGTCCTTTTTTCATAGTGACTCGTCGGTCTGTTGAGAATGTCTTGAGTCTTAACTAGGAACATTCTCTTGGAGTTGGGTTTGCTTGCAATATCACTTTTTGTTGGGTGCCTGGGCATGCTGGGGTGATAGGGAATGAGCAGGCAGATTATATAGCGAAGGAGAGTTTAGGAAGAGAAATAGATATCCATGTATCCTTGGGGAGGGTGGAACTGAGGGAAAGAGTTAAAGAGGGCTTAATAAAAGAATGGCAGAGAGGATGGGGAAAGGAAATCAAGGGTAGACATTATTTTTCTATTCAATCTAAAGTTAAGAAAATATGTTTTTGTACTTGTCCATCTCGTAGGGACTCAGTTAAACTGTGTAGATTGAGGTTGGGGCACTGTGGGTTAAATTACTGGATTATGTGAATATGGAAACAGTAGGGCATATTTTCTTGGAATGTAGGAAGTATAATGCAGAATTTGGAGTTAAAGTGTTTTCTGTTACTTCTTTGTTTGGACACGGTGATAAACACAAACTGATCTCTGAGGTAGTTCTTCAGTTCTTGCATAATACAGGACTGTATATAAGAATTGAGTTCAAACTTTGACCTGTGGATGGCCGTAATACGCCCAGTAGCATCTACACTGCCGGGAAGATATAAGAAGAAGAACATACTCTGAGTTGAATGAACTTACTCCCGGACACGTTTTTGGAACCACATACCTCGAGTAAGCAAGGTTTGGGGTTAATCAACTGAAAGGTCAGGGTATAGCTGACGGTAAGTTAACCGTGCTTTCTGGAATACACCCCAGGTGTCATTATTAACATCATTTAGTATCATAAACAAATGTTTCATTATTTTAAATTTTGTGCTATAAGAAGTAAACAGTGTAGCTGTAAATCATGCTGTTCTTAAAGGAGCATCTTCCTTCGTCTTCCTATATATCCAGTGATTTGAACTCTTACTAATGTTTTCATTCTATTAGACTTGTCTAAACATAGTGTTTTCTTAGCACAAGTAACACTCTCTTGTGTCAGTGAGTGTCATGCTTGACAGATGGTTTGTTTTCCCCTTTTTATTTTCGTTCGTTCGTTCCTGTCGTTGATTTTAATGCAGTCAGTCAGGAAATGATTGCTCACTGTGAAACTTGATGTGAAACCTTTTTTTTTTTTGTTCTTCTGAAACTGAGAACAGATTTGACATCACTGAACACATAATTGTGTTTGAAGAAAAAAAAACGTCATTTATACTTTCTTTAACCTCAGCTTGTTCATTTCACGAAAAGGGTTGAACCCCATTTTTTCTGTAAGTTTAAGGGACGGTTGGGTTTTAAGAGAAATGGCATGATCTGGTTTTGTGTCAGAAAATGCACAAACACAGTTTCTCAGTTTTACTGCTTTGAACTCTAAATAATACATTTAACATTAAGACATCTGTTCGCAGTTTAATTTAATCAAGATTTATGTGCCATAGATGAGATTCACATTTATATTTTCTCTTGAAAATAGCTTACATGTACATATTAATGCTAGTCCAGATAAATATATCATGTCTAAACATACAACCTGTCACTTTTTTTAACACAAGTCCTGCAGATCTAATGATTTTAAAGCATATGCATTGGCTGTGACAGAAGCTATTTGCTGTTCTTTTTTTAATAAGGACTTTGGCTCAGTCTCTATATTAAAGTAAGAATGCTTAAAACATGCTACTCCAGCTTGAATATTGTGTATTGATATTGAACTGTTGCATTAAAAACAGTAGCAGTAACAGCACTTTTATATTTAACTGAATATTATTGACAAGCACAAATTAACTGCACGAACCTGAATAACCACAACAATTAATGTTTCACTGAGGCTGAAAAAGGTGACATCTGCTAAAACATCTCAGTTTCTCTGAAGTGAAAGTAGATCTGGTCAACAGGAACATAATTTAGGGCACACAGTTGTCTGTTTTCGTTTGTGGTAACCTACAGTAATGCTGGTTTAGCTGACAGTGCAAAGCTCAGACAGTAAAATAAAGCACACAAATGTGTCATTTAGATGATTTGTGCTGAATCAGAGATGAGCGTTTGGCTGCGCTCCATCCTTTCTGCCACCTGCATTGTTAATCCATTTGATTTTTCATTTAAATATTTCAAATTAATTTAAATTATAAAAAAAATTTTTTAAAATAAAAGTGAAAGTGGAGGGGCGGGAATCATATTATGAAATAAATATAAAAAAATAAAAATATCTTTAAAATGAGCAATTCATATTTGCATTTTATTTTAGCACCAGATAAAAAATACCAATAGATAAGTATATAAATGTTTTTGTTTTTTTAAGAAAATGACAGCTTGTTTTGCTAGATGACCCTTATTTCTTGGCTGGGATCCTGTAGAGCAGGGGTGGGGAACGTTGATCCTGGAGGGCCACTCTCCTGCAGAGTTTAGTTCCAACCCTGAAAAACCCTAGAAAAAAAAAAAAACTAAATGCATCCCGAAGACCTTGATTAGCTGGTTCAGGTGTTTTTGATTAGGGTTGGAGCTAAACTCTGCAGGGACACCGGCCCTCCAGGATCAACGTTCCCCACCCCTGCTGTAGAGCTATTTGAAGTTGCACTGAAACTGTGATTTGGACCTTCAACCCGTTGGTCCCCATTGAAGTCCATTATATGGAGAAAAATCCTGGAATGTTTTCCTCAAAAACCTTAATTTTTTGCGACTGAAGAAAGAAAGACATGAACATCTTGGATGACATGGTGGCGAGTAAATTATCATAAAATTTTTATTCTGAAAGTGAACTACTCTGAATCAGCACTTGTCTTGCTGGAAAAAGGTACAGACATCGGACACGCACGCACAGAAAGCACTTCAGACAGTGCGCCAGTAGCGCATCAACGGACAAAATCATACACAATTATGGCAAAATGCCCCTTTTTGCCGAATGGCGCATACACAGAAAGCCACTTCAGACACTTTGGCGAGTGACCTTGTAAACACGGTCTTAAATGAGTTAAAAAGCCTTAAATGACCGTAAAGAGTTGGGAGAAAACCAGATGTGTGTCTGATCCGCATCACGTGCGTCAGGAATTAAAGAGACAGCGCTGCTTTTACAGTGAAACCTGCTGCAGTCATTGATGTAAATCAAAGAATAAAAGAAAAACTGCTCTGATCGCTGATTAATGAATAAAGTTTAATCTATATTCTATTTATGCATATTGTATTAAGTTAATTTAAATTAAAAGTGTGATTATATTGTCAAAGCCAATTAAATGTTAAAAACAATGGCTTTCAGTTCCCTTTCAGTCGGTCACTCCAAGTCAAGTCGGTGACCGACAAATTGGGATATC